TCCTCCTCCTCCTCCTCCTCCTCCTCTTTGTGTTCTGGCAGGGGGGGCGGCAGGACACGGGCGTGGAGACGGGGAGGGGACGGGGGGACGGGGATGGGGAGGGGGGATGGGGGGAGAAGGAGGGAGGACTGGGGGAGAGGGGGGCGAGGGCCGCCTGGCACCACTCCCTACGTGCCCCCCCCGCGTTTTTTTTGCGCTCAGCTCCGCGACGGGCCGAGGGCACGAGCCGCGGGACCAGCAGGCCCAAGCTTCCTGATCAGGTCAGCGGGGCCGAAGGCGCGCTCAAACTTGTCCATCAAGTCTGGCTGTCCGAGCGCCTTCCAGCCCCCGGTGCTACGCACTCTGGCTGGTGCTGCCCAGGAGGAGCGGGAGGGGAGCACTGGATCTGGAGGATACGCGCGACAAGGGACGATGGGGAGGAACAACGATACTCCAATGAATACGGTATCATGATGGGGTCTGGGTGCAAATGCAAGCACTTGATTGCTGTCTCTCCCGCGCTCTCTCTCTCTCTCAGTCTCTCCCTGGCTCTATGGAAAACCTTAGGGGGCAGTGAATGTTAAACGGGAAGTCGCACGCCCGAAATACATCGAGCGGAGTCGACTAACACGGAAAGAACAATGACGTAGGTTATGGCAGCACGTCTGAAAGTGGAACGGAGGAGGCCGAACCAACGTCTCATGCTGCTACCACACTTGCTGCGCATGGCGCCACATGATAACGGACAACATCTTCGCTGTACACACCAAGGGAGTAACATGTGAATAACCGCGCATCCTTTATGTTCGCCCATGTGAAACGCAAAGGTGCAAAGCGCGTAAGATCTGCATCCCGAGTGAGGGCTGTCGTTGCCCAGGTTGGGGCTTGCGGCTGCACATCGCACATCGCTCTACAGTGCACGCGTGGCGCTGTCCGCCCTCAGCCGTAGCAGCGTCCAGAGAAGCACGGGGCACGCAGAAATAAATTACGGTCCGACTCTTAGTTCGGACCGCGGAAAGAGCAACTCCAGGCATAACACACCCATCCCAATGACATGCGTGGGATTCGTCTGCACCGACGGAGCACGTGTGGGATTAGGCAAGGGTGTGAAAACGCATCCTTAAAGCCTCCATGGCTAGTCCGTCCTTTATCATATTCATGGATACATGCGTCCTGTTTCCTACGTGCAAAACGTGTGAATGCATTCATATACAGATCCGCCTCCTCGACGTCCAAGCTTCTGTCCTCGCCCGTCCTCTCCTCATTGTCCAGTATGCTTGCCGTATCTCCGATATCCGCTTACCGATGCTCATCCCATTACACCCCGCCGTATCACCTCAAGTGGTCATCGCACTCTCTCTCGTTCGCTTACTCTCTCTCCCCTATCTCTCCCTCTCCATCTCCCTACCTCCTTCTCTCTCTCTCTCTCCCCATCTCGCTCTCTCCCTATCTCTCTCTCTCTCTCTCTCTCTCTCTCTCTCTTCCTCCCTCCTGACGTCGAGCAGCACGCTGCTGACCATCATGGCGGGTACCAACAGTACGTCGCCGAAAAACACTGTTTCGAATACCGCACCGCTGAGGAGCATGACGCGTACTGGCACCTGGACGCTGACCACCACGTCGGGCACCAGGTGGGCATCGTTGAGCAACCCGACCCTTACGGCGACGTATGGGACGACTGCCGCCTCGAAGACTGCACTTCGTACCACCTTGAGGTCTGCCCTCTTTGTGCCACGTACCGTGAGGGCCGTCGAGGCGTTCTGGCTGGCCAGGTTGGTCTGGACGCCCGCCTGGTTGCCCCGACCTCCACGCCGCAGTGGCCCACCGGGGGTGAGATGGGTGCAGCCTCGAACGCCACGCTGCTGAGCAACACGACGGGCACCATCGTTGCGCATCACATCGGAGTGCACCTGCTCGACCCTGGCGGGCACCATCGGGACAAGCGCCACCTCGTGCGCCACGTCTCTGAGCCACACCACGGCTGCCAATATCCCGACATTGACCACCACGTCGGACAGCAACATCCCGACCCTAGCGCCAACGCGTGGGACGAATACCGCCTCAAACACCGCGTTGCCGTGCTCCAGGTCCACCCCGACGGCCACGAGCGGGATGCGTTCTGCCTCGAGGACCACGCGGCTGTGCACTCCCACGGGCAACCGTATCCCCACATCGAGTGGCATGCCCGAGAGCATCATTTCAACTCTGAGGTCCACGAGTGGGACACGGCCGGCCATTGGCATCACGTCGCGGAACCACCATGACGGGTGCCGGCATAACGCCGTGGAGCAACACGCCCAAGAGCAGCAACTCGACCGTGACGACCACGAGTGAAGTGAGTACTCCCCCGCGTGCTCACATCTCGACGTTCAGCAACACGTCTCTGACCACCAAGGCGGGAACCACCAGCACGTCGTTGAACAACACGACTGGGCGCACCATCACCTCGTCGTGTACCAGCGGGACGGGCACCGCCGCGAGCACCACGCCGTTGAGCTGCACGACGGGCACTGGCACCTTGACGATATGCACTACGTCGGGGAGCACCAAAGCGACTACCATGTCGCTGACTACCATGCCCGGCACCAGCCGCGAATCGGGGAGCAACACGACCAGGAGCAACATCTCGACACTGACGACCATGTATGGGACGTTCACCGCCTCGAGTTCTGCCCTGAGTCCTACCAAGTCCGTGGCACAGTATTTCCATGATCCGCATTGGCCAGTGTGGGATGCGTGGATCGGCCTATTTCCAAGAATCGCATTGGCCCGCTGGGTGTAGGATGCGAGCTTCTCCCTGCTTCCACGAGCCGCATTGGCCAACTGGGGGTGGGATGCGAGCTCCGACCAGCACGTCGGGGAGCACCAAATCCACCCTCACGTGCAATGAGCACAGACCGCCTGGACCGCCCTTTATCAGGCCCGTTCGTCCGCTCGCCTTTGGGCGCCGCCCCAAACAAGCGACCAGGCGCGTCTAGATGCTCACCAGCACTCCAGTGCTAGCCTCCTTCCGCGCGGGCCGCGTAAACAATTGGTACCTTTTCCATTGATTGCATATCCTGGGCCGCTGCGGGGGATGCCCCAAGGCGGCGCCTCTTTTCGCAGGGTGCCGAGGCGCGTACGTACACCATCACGCGCTCAAAGCCGGCGCCTCCCTCCGCTTGGTGGCGCAAACGGGCTCCTTTGGGGTCTGATCACCGCCTGTCGTCACGTTTTTCCAATCGTGGACCTTTTCTGTCCGCGCAAAGAGAGAGGTAAACCACCACCCCTGTTTCGATGGCGGCACCTCCCGTTATCTGATGCGGGCACGCTGGGCACATGAGGCCACAGGGCCAAGACGAATTTGCCATTCGATGTGGTGCGCTCTGTTTTTTCGGTTGTGTTTTTTCTTCCTCTCTCTCTCTCTTTCCCTCTCTCCCTCTCTCCCTCGCTTCCTCTCCCTCTCCCTCTCCTTGTTCCTCTCCTTCTCTCGCCATGTCCGTATGTCTTACTCTCTCTGCCTCTGGCTCTCTGTGTCTCTGTCTCTAGTTATGTTTTTACCTGCATTGATTTGTTTGTTCTCTCTCTCTTTCTCGTTCTCTCTCTCTCTCTCTGTCTCTCTCGATCTCTCTCCCTCTTGCCCTCTCCCGCTGGCTCCGTCTCGCTTCGCCACTCGCTTGCCGTGTCTGGGACAGCATCGGCAACCAGAATCGTGAATGTTCAGGCCACGATCGTGAGGTTGGGACCGTGTGCTCACGCTCCAGACGATTGCGACTGGAACCCCCTATCGTTCTGGACAAGACTCTGTTTCGGGGGCTCTTCGTGCGCGACTGTACAGGCGACTATCGCCTCAAGCTCTCAAGCCACAACACTTTGGCAATAATCTCATTGACGCTCAGGCCAAGACCCTGCGGCTGGGACTCGATTCCCCCGGACCCTCCGGACAACAAGGATATCACGCCTTCAGGCCAATGCATGGGACGCTATGCTTAAGAGCTCCACAAGCGACCAGTATCATCAGCGATCAGGCCAGGATCATCCACGACCCTATGTATGCCAACGACTCCATGGGCGCCAAGACACACACGTGCTTCAATCCTGTACTATTCAGACAAACATGAACATGGTAGTGCAAGTACTAATGGGGGGACTGGAAGACACAATGCCTTTTTAGTGTGCGAGCTCTTAGACTAGCAAGTCTGGATCTGGCGCTTGTCTGACTCTGGCCCTTCTCCCGCAAAAGCGGCGGAGAAGAGCCGTCAGTTGCTGGAAAACGCCAGCGCGCGCCTTCTGCTCCCATGTTGCAGAAAGGTGTGGATGGTCGAAGGAGCCCCTAGAGCACTCGTAGGGCATGTGCATGGAATCCTTGAGCACGTGAAGGGAGTGCAAGTGCACTTGCAACTCTGTCAGCGCCGATGTGCCTTGAGCATTCACCATGATCCACAGCTTCAAGTCCCTATAACCTCCTTTGCCTTCTTGTGCATCCTTGCTAAAACCGTTCTTCGTTCGAACGACCTGGCAACCGTCTTGATCGAGTTGGAGGCTGCGCATTCTTCGATATAGTGTTGCCAAGTCCTGCATCCCACTCAAGGCGACTTCAGCTCCGTTGATGTCGCATACAAAGCAAGCGGGAGTGAGCAAGTCCTGCAGGGCCATTTGGGAAGAATCAATGTCGCCAACCTCCGAGGAGATGCGAGGCTCTTGCTTGAGTATGGCCTGTGACATACCCAATCCAACCTCCTCCAGAACAGCGTCTCCCATCTTCTCCAAGAGCCGAGGGAGTCCCTTGGGCTTCGAACGAGCACGGAAGGAACGTACTTCGAGGCCGTCTGCCCCCTTTCGTGGGAACTCCACATCGCTGGCACGAAGTCCCAGCAACTCCAGCACCTTATTATTTACAATATCCATCTGCCGCCCAGCACGAGCCCACACCCAAGCAGCGTGGAGATTTGCAAAACGCATCCGTTCAGAAGAAAGGCCCGAGCACTCGCTGCTGACAAGGTTCACCAAATCCCTTGCCTTCTCGATGCAACCCGACGACTTCAGAATATCGACCATCTCCATGTCAATGCGCTGGTCTCGTGGTCCGTTAGCCACCCGATGGGCCACGGGGCCCAGGAACCAACCAAACGGACCCCCAGAGGCTAAAACGCAACCACACTCGGCTGATGATGATCCTCCTAGGCTGTTTTCTCTGCCTTGGGAGAATCTGGTGGGCTGTGGTAGAAAGCAACCTTTGAGAAAAAAAGACGTGCACTTTCGAAAGTCCGTGGGGATTTCTCGGATCGTCGCTGGACCCCCTTCCTCGGCGCGCGGAGCGCGCCACGGGCGGCGCCGGAGGCGCCGCCAGAGGGTGCCAATGCCGATCCGAGGAATCCGCGTGGACCTTCGAAATAGCATGCGCACACGTCGGTCGGAAGAAGTAGGTGAAAACATGAAGTAGGAAGGCGTCGGAAGTAGATTGGGCTTCCACCTGCCCCCTGAAGACGAAGGTAACAGGATAACCACTCGACCCCTGAAGCAGGAAGGCGCCTGAAGTAGATCGGAATCTGGGAGCTCCAAAAAGCCGACTTTCAACGACCAGCGAGTGCATATGTTCTTCGTCTTCGATGGTCCTGGGCCCTCTGGCCCTCCTGGTGACCAAGCGTCCGCGCTGCTGGGCAAGCACCCACTCTGGCGTGGACATGGGCGCCACATCCTCCACCTCCGCGGCGAGGCCCGAGTCCAGGCGGAGCCGCGGAGGCGCCTCGCGCGCCTCGGCCCGGCTCGTGTCGAGGCCGTGGAGCTCGCTGCTGGGGATCTCGCGGGAGACCACCCCAGCCGCTTCGGGCTCGGCCTGCTGCAGCTCCTGGAGCACCTCCTTCACTCGACTGGCCGAGCGCGACTGCAGCTCTCGGACGAGGGCCACGAAGTCCTTCCTGTACGGCTCCCGAGGGTCGAACGGCGGTCGTCCGGGCCCCTTCGTGGCAACAAGCAGGCCCCGCGATATACCCTTCAGGTCCGTGTGCGGGACCGGCTGCTTCGTCTCTGAGTCCAACACGTCGCTGTCCAGGTTCGAGATCCCGCCTGCGCAGGCTTCGAGAACAAGCTTGATGGCATGCCATACGACCTTCAGACGTTCGCGGGAGGCGTGTGTGTGTCTCAGTTGGGCCGTCGTCCCGTCGGCTGACGTGGGAGAGGCACTGTCGAGCACTCCGAAGCAATGCTCAGAGAGTAGGCCAATCCAAATGGCAGGATGATCTCCCGGCTCGAGGTCGGAACATGCTGCCAACAACAATCCCGATGCCTTCGCGTAGCCCCTCCGAAAACTCTCGATGTCGTCGGCCAAGAGCACCTCTCTGACGTCCTGCCACGAGACAGGCGGCGACGGCAACAACCGGCGCTCCTCCTCGTCGAGAGACAGTGCTAGGGGCGCACCGTCCGCAAAAGGGGCCCGGAGGGCGCCAGGCGAGTGCTTCCCCATTAGGCCGAGGAGCTTCAGCCTGGCAGAGGGCCCCGCTCGCCGCAGCATGCACTCCAGCGGCTTCTCCCCCGAGCCGTTCGCGCGCGTCAGCATCTGAGCGGGCACCACGCTGATGGCGTCGGCGAGGGCATCTGGCGACGCCACCATGTGCACGACCGTGTCGCCACGACCGTCCTCGTAACGCATTTCCGCCTCCGTCATCTCGCCAAGGCGGCACGCCTCACCAGCCCGTAGGCGCGCCCACGCGCTGCGACACCGCCTGATCTGCCCCGCGCTCATCTCCCGGAAGATCACCGAGAGCTCGTCGATACCGCCTCGCAGGAGGCCGTGCACGGCCCGGTGGCGCTGCAGCAACTCCCCTGCCTCGAAGGTGTTCAGGCCTTCCAGCGCGTCCAAGTTTTGGTCTCGCTGGGAACTCGTCAGCCGATCCAGATTCGAGAGCGCATCTTCCTGCTCCTGGACCTTCTCGTGGTCCACCGGTGGCGCGGGCCCCAAGAAGGTGACCGTGTAAATGAGGTGGTAAGTCGACGCCACCCGCAACCTGTTCTCGATTCTTCGGCCGTACTTTGTGGTTTTATTGTCTCTAGCGGTTCGCACATTTTCGCCTCCGATTGCCGCCACTGTCCAGCCGACCAGGACATGAAAACGTGCAGCCTGGGAGCCTGGGGCTACGCGCTGAACAACGGCATTTTCCGCCGACCCCCCCTTTGGGGTCACGCGGGGTCACCGGACTCCACATCTCTCATTTGAAGGCGGTCAGGGTGGCCTAGTGTATGAGCTCACACATGTGCCTCTTGGGGCTCCCTGGAAGCCCTTCGGGCCACCCGAGAGGTTCAAGTGGCAAATCACTCCGCCGCATCGTCCCTGCCAAAATTCGAGCTCAAATCAAGGCTCCACGAACCCCCCCAAATCAAATCCACGCTGCCCATCCCATATCAAAGCGCCACGGAACAAGCGACATAAAAAGGGCTCGGCGGACGTGACGTAATGGTGAAGAATCGCCCCAAGTGAAACCATAGTCGGCGCCTGAGAAAGTGAAGGTCCGACGAACGAGCTTCCCACCAGGTAGAGGTTTTTCTGCGGGAAGGTCACCACATGCTGAAGCTGGAGGCTGCAAAGAGCCCCGACGGCTCGCTTGTCCCTCTGGCACAACAGCCTTTAGCTTGGGGGCCATTGGGTGTCATACATTAGACAGAAGGTCACAGTTGGAGCCAAAATGGTTTTGGCCTCTTGGTTTAATTTTGTGTTGCTCCTGTGCTGTGGGTCATGGCGGCTGCTGCTACGTGCTTGAATTGTGCTGATCTTCGGCAGGCCATAGATGCGCCTCTTGTATCGGTGCGTAATCGAGAGGGGGAGAGAGTGCGCGTATACATATGCCAGCAATTGTGAGCCACAGCCAGTATGTTTTCAGCAATGCATGGTGTGCAATTGTGTTATGCTGGCTGTGTGGTGCACTAAACTATTGTGAATTGTACGAGATGCAATAAATGCTGTGCGATCCATGTGGTGCAATCTACGTGGTGCAACCTGTGCTGTGCACTCTATGTGGTGCGATAGGTGTTGTGCAATCCATGTGGCACAATCATTTTGTCCAATACAGGTGGTGGACCTTTTGTGGTGCAATTTCTGTGGTGAACTATAGATGCTGTGCACCCTTTGTGGTGCATTTTATGTTGTGCAATCCATTCGGTGCAATCTACGCAGTTCAATATACGATATGCAGGCTATGTGGTGCAGTCTACGGGATGCAATCTTTTTGGTGCAATTTATGTTGTGCACTCTGCGTGGTCCGATCTGTTTTGGTGCCATCTATATGGTGCAATGTATGTTGTGCAATAGATGTTGTGCAATCAAGTTGGTGCAATGTATGCGGCTGAATCTACGTTGTGCCAACTATGTGGTGCAAAGTATGCGTTGCAATATTTGTGGCGCAACCTATGCGGCGCAATTCAACATGCCGAACTTGAAAATGTCAGCCCCAATGCTCGCGCAATCGTCCCACCCGCCCACCCGCAACTTGGCATGAACACACCAATGCGGCGGCGATTTCGATGTCTGCCTGGCGCTGGCTGGCGCATCGCTGCGGCCGCGCTAGTGCGCGCAAGCTCGCGCGCAGAGCGGCCATCTAGGCTGGTGCAACCGACGCGGCCGCGGTGGCGCTGAGCGCTGGGCACTGCCCAGCGCGTCTCGCAGGCCGCGCTGACGTGCGGGCACTTCAGTGCGAGTCGGTGGCTCCCGCGGGCGCGGTATCATGGCGACGTCGACACGGCAGACACGACGATTATAGTATGTAGCGATGCTGGCGACGACGATGACAGCGACGACGGCAACGCCAATGACGGCGCCGATGCTGACCACGCCAATGACGATGATGGTGTCCACGTGGCTGTGGCATAGGTTCTATAAGGATTTCGACATGTGCGCGCGGCCGACTGGAGCGAGCGGCTCGCATGCTATATTTTGACAGGGGTCGTTCCCTCCCCATCACGCGCGCAAGGGGTTCCGAATGATTTCGACATGCGCGCGCGAGAGGCCCGCTTGGTCACAGTAATTGAGCATGTTGAAGCACCGATGGTTGTATGGACAATTCGCAAAAACACGCACATTTTGTTTGACAGTTCATGTTGCAAAACCATAGATGCTTCTATGTTTTAGGGACGCTCGACTTCAATCCCGTACGAAACGACTCTACTTTGACACACGAATGTGCGCGCATAGTGTTCTTTTGCAAAGGGTGATGGGGGGGGATACCTGTTTGGCTGGGATCCTACGAACGCATACTTTACATGAACGGTGGGGCACAATCGCACGTAAATTGCACATCCCCACGGGGGGGGTATTCCCAGGTGGTGGTGGTAGATCCGGATTCAAATTTAGAATGGAAAATCTAGGTTGTGCACCCTATTGCGGCGACGAGGCGGCGACGTGGGCCACACACCCGCCAGATCGAAGACACGGCCCAGACGACGGCCAGCGACGAGGCGGCGACGGCGTCCACATAGTCGCCAGACAGAAGACACGGCCCAGTTCCCTGGAACAAAACTAAGAATCCCTAAGTGCAAACACTGTTTAGGGAATCTACATATACACAAGCAGCAAGCGAACGAATCACATGCCGATGTAAACTTGCACATGCAAGCGTATCGGCGGCTGCTCAATGCAACGTCGTCCGTGAGCCAACATAGCAAGCCCCAGTGGCACCGACCAGGAGGAACCCAACATATTATCATTGAAAGTGGTGGTCGTCGATTAATTCCAAATGCCTCCGTTCCATAAAGACCCCTTATGGCCGATAAGCAACGCGAACGAATAAAAACGTATTGCGCCATCCTGTTCTAAATTGCCCACACGAGTAAAGCATTCTGAGCTCAACAGGTTACGCATTATATTCTGCAAAATACACGCTTGATGTGTCAACGTTTTTTTGTTTCATTTGGCTTTGCCGCCGACGGGGTTGAAATTGATTCTGTGCGAAAACACGGGGGGCTGACAGCGATGTGCTCCATGCCCGTCGGTTTCCCGAACGTTTCTTGCGTGTTCTCAGGGGCTTCTCCGACATCCCCATGTGTACCCAGTATTGCGTTGTCGTGCTTTGCCATTGATTGCGTTGCTTTGCTTGTTTTGCTTGTTCTGCCCTGTTTTGGTCTGCCTTGCTATGCGATGCTGGGCCGCACTTCCATGCTAAGAACATGTTTTCCAGTGTGTAACCCGACAAATGTGTTTCTGAAATCTACGTGGTGCAAGCTACGTAGTGCAATTATTTCTGTTCGCAATGAATTGTCCACTCCACTGCTCGCGCAAACATCCCACCCACTCACCCGCAACTTGGTTTGCAACATCTCTTAAGACCGTGACGGTGGGTACCACATGGCACTTGGCAACAACAGCGACGCCGACGACGACAGCGACAACGACGATGACGACGCCGCCGACAACGACTACGACGACACCGGCGACGTCTCCAACGACTTCGACGACGCCGACAACGACGACGACGACGCCGACACCGACGACGACGACGACGACACCGACGCCGACGACGATGACAACGACGACGACGATGACGACGCCGACGACGACGATAACGACGACACCGACGACGACGACGTCAACGACGCCGACGCCGACGACGACGGCGACGACGGCGGCGACGACGACGACGCCGACGTCGACGACGACGAAGACGACAACGACGCCGACACCGACGACGACGACGACGACGACGACGTCGCCAACGAAGACAACGAGGAAGGAGGGAGGACGACGACGGCGACAACGACGACAACGACGAGGGAAGAGGGAGGACGGCGACGACTCGAACGACGAAGAAAGAGGAAGGACGGCCACGCCGACGACGGCAACGACGAGGGAGGAGGGAAGACGACGACGACGACAACGACGACGACGACGACGGCGACGAAATAGGAGGGACGACGACGAGACGCCGACGACGGACGACGACGACGACGAGGGAGGAGGAGGAAGGACGACCACGGCGACAACGACGACGGAAACGACCACGACGCCAAAGAGGACGACGACGACGAACACGAGGAAAGACAGAGGACGACGTAGGCGACGACGACGACGACAACGACGCGGGAGGAGGGAGGACGGCGACGACGACGACGACGACGACGCAAGAGCGCGCGCGCACGCTTTTGTTGAAAATCCGTGTTGCGAAACCTTGTGTTTTGTAGGTTTTTTGGACACACGATTTTGGAATCCTTCCGAAACCGATGGGTTTTGAAGGTTTCCGGCATACGCGCGCGACGACGCGCGCGTCTGCACTTCGTTCCATTTTTTTACAAGGGATTCTCGCGACGGCACACGCGCAAGGGCGTTCGACAGATTTCGACATGAGCGCGCGCGAAGCCCGTTTGGTAGCATTTTGTGATAATCTTGAAAAACCAATGGTTTTCTTAAGATGTCGCAAGAGCTTTCGCGGAAACTTTTTAAGCAACTCTGTGTTGCGAGGCCATGTGTTTTTGTATGTTGTTGTATGTTTTTTGGAAACTCGATTGCGAAATCCTTTCCGCACCGAAGGTTTGTGAAGGGTTTCGGCATGCGCGCGCGACGACGCGCGCGCGCGCACTTTGTCTCATTTGTTGCACGGGATTCGTGACAAAATGCTATGTTAGAACAAACAATGTCACCGCATAGTGGTTTTTTACAAGGGAACCTCAGAGGGGGGAAACCGGTTTGGCTGGGATGGTATGATTTCATATTTAGGATGGACAAGTGTGCATAACACACACATATATTTACCTATATATATATATATATATATATGTGTGTATATATATATATATGAAATCGTACTATCCCAGGGGGAACCGATAAGTCAGGGGGGGTAGAGTCTATTCTCTTTTTAGAAAGGAGAATTGGTTTTAACAGACGAACTGACACATCCCATGCTCTTGCAAACGTCCCACCCACCCACCCGCAACTTGGTTTGCAAAACCCATGGTGCGATTGCGATGCGTGCTTGGCGTTGGCTGGTGCGTCTCTGCGTCCGCGCCAGCCATAGCACGCGCGTGCAGCGGCCAATTCGTTTGGCGCCGCCGGCGGGGCCGCGGTGGCGCTGACCGCCGGGCGCCAGGGGGCACTTCGGTGCGAGTCGGCGATTTGGGCGGGCGCGGTATCATGCCAACGCCGACAACGGTAGACACGACGATGACAGTAGCGATGCTCGTGGCGATGTTCGCACCGATGAAGGCGCGGCCAGCGCGGGCGCCAATGCTGATCGCGCCGGCGACGATGACGGCGCCCTCGCGTCGGCGATGAAGATTTTGGAAAGAGTCCGACATGCGCGCGAGGCCGACGCGCGAGAGTGGCCCGCGTGGTTTTATTTGCCACGGATCGTGCCCCCCCCCCCCCCAGCACGCGCGCAAGGGCGCGCGAATGATGTCGGCGTGTGGCGCCAGAGGCCCGTATGGTGCAATGAACATGTAGGAAACAAACACGTCGTTGTCTTAAGAATTCGCATGAGCGCGCGCAAGTGTTTTTTGACAACC